GTATCATGGGTGACCATATATAATAATTTATCATCCAAATCAGGAACCTTTTGAGAATGAGAGTAAGCATAAACTAGGATTGTCTCAGGCAAACCTGAGTGTGGCCACTCTCTTTAACATCATCATTGTATAGTGGTTGGGGGTTGTGATGATGACACTGAGTCATGAAGAAAAATGCATCACTTTTTAGGTAATAGAAAATGTAGTTATTCTTACAGAAAGAATTATCTTTAGAATAGTTAATGGAATAGAAAACACTTATCAAATACTAGGCACTTTATGTAACATAATTTAATTTTTCTTGACAATTTTATAAGATAGGAGATAACACTCAGGGAGATTAAAAAAACAAAACTGGTCCAGGATCTGTCCTGCTTTAGAGCCCATATTCTTTCATCTCTACCAAGAAGTTTTGAAATAAGTAAAAATGTGTTTGATGCTCACAAAGAAAAACTGTTAGCTTATGAGAAAACTCTTGACCAGAATTGTATATGTGTGTAAGGTTATAGATGAGTATACTATATTGCTAATATGTATAGAGAAAGAGCATATTAAAGCAACATAGTTAAGCTAGTTTTTATTTAAAAAAATTCACTTTAATATAGTTATCACTGAATTACTCGGTTATTTTAATATAGATTTTAAAATGCTTGGAAGAATAGTTGACAAGTCTTTAGTTGTATCCGTGTGGGTATTTGAAAAATTCTGCTTAAAATAGAGAAAAAAACACCTTTTTTATTTTGAGGACCTCTTTTGTAAATGTCTACCTTTGTTCTCTATTTTTTTGCTTCCTTCAATTTCTAATTAATTGTTGGCCATTTAAGAAAGGCACAACATAAAGAATCTGACTAAACTGAAGGTGATAGTTATAAGAAAGTTTTTTCCTACTAGTCCTTAAGCAGAATATGAAGTCACAAAATTTGAAGGTATGAAAGAACTGTACTTGAAGGATGTTCTCTGTAATTGTAAATATTAAACATTGACTGAGATAACTGCTATATTCTACACACAAATTTTTATATATATTCTTTATCTAGATTGGTTAGTGAAATAATCTCATTGAATATAATCCCATGTCAGTTGTATTAATTTTCTGTTGCTGTCAAATCACCACACACTTAGTGTGTTAAAACAACACATTTATTATCTTACAGTTCTGTTGGTCAGAAGTCTCAGTGGGCTGAAATCAAGGTGTTGGTGGGGCTTTATTCCTTTCTGGTGGCTCTGGGAGAGAATCTGTTTCTTTGCCTTTCCAGTGTCTTGAAGCTACCTGTATTCCTTGACTGCTGGCCCTCCTTCTCTGTCTTGAAAACCAGTAATGCTAGCCTTTTCACGTGT